ACGTCAAGCACTCTGATGGGTATAGCGGTGGCCGTGACAGAGACCCCACCGAGGCAACACACGGGGCAAGCTTCTTATCCCATCGCACAGGCCCTTATCTCTACAGACCCACGGGAGAACCTCACGTTTAGCCTTCGATTCGGGAGAAATCGTGTGAGCCTTTGGCTGGCTGGCCCAGCTCTGGCAAGCGGCCCCACAGCCCGCCTGCAGGGCTCTTACCCTTGTTCCTCCTACAGCCTCACTGTACTATTTATTTTGCAACTACTGATTTTTTTTTAATGTTCATTTTTTGTGGGGGGAGAGGGGCAGAGAGAGAGGGAGACACAGAATCCCAAGCAGGCTCCAGGCTCCGAACGGTCAGCACAGAGCCCGATGCGGGGCTCGAGCTCACGAACTGGGAGATCGTGACCTGAGCCGAAGTTGGACACTTAACCGACTGAGCCACCCAGGCGCCCCTACTTCTGAGTTTTTAAAAACCTTGTTATATTGCATATGTCCTTGTAGATCACTTTACATCTTTTTTTTTTTTTTGGAACAAGGTGGAATATAAAAATTTTCCATCTTATAAGAATCATACGATCAAAGAGTGATCTAAACCGTACCCTAGGAAGACCCAAGAATGCTTCCCGAAGGACGAGGCATTGGGGCTGTGCTGTGCCGCCAGGTGGTGTGTTGGCTCTGATTCGGCAGGGACGGACTGCAGGCTGCAGTGGGCAGGGGGAGGGGTGTTAGGCATTGCTGGTGTTCAGGGTGTTGGAGGTGCTACTTGGGAGGTGGGCCTTGTAGCCCAGGAACTGCCCAACCCTTCCCGGTTCTGGAGGGCCCAATGTAGACGCTTATTTCAATATCCCAAGTGTGAAGTTATTTCTTAAAAATATTTACTTTTGAGAGAGAGAGAGAGAGAGAGAGAGAGCGCGCGCGCGCACAAGCAGGAAAGTAGCAGAGAGAGAGAGGGAGATACAGAATCCGAAATAGGCCCCAGGCTCCGAGCTGTGAGCACAGAGCCCGACGCGGGGCTAGAAATCACAAACCATGAGCTGACTTCAGACACTTAATGGGCTGAGCCACCCAGGCACCCCCTCCAGTGTGCAATTAAAATAGGGGATAAAATAATGTTGCAAAAAGGCAGGAAGAGTGTGGTGTTTGGAGGGTTGTAATTGACATTGGGGGCACCAGGTGGGGGAAGCATGGGGCATGTGTCACCGTAGGTCACTCTTGCCGTGGCTCTTTGGAGGAAGGGCCTTTATTGTCCCCGTTTTCCAGAAGAGCAGAGTGAGGCTTGGGAGCGCGGAGGCCAGAGTCTCACCGATAGTAAGAACCTGCAGCGACAAGTTCTGGAATCTTTGCAAGGGCTCTGCTGTCTGGGATCCCCTTGATCAGAGCAGAGAGCCTGCTGACAGAAGTGACGAGGAGGGAGCATGGTGACAAAGAGGCTGAGTCAGTGGGAGGTCAGAGCAGCACTGGTCAGAGAACGTCGAGTGCAAGTCTCACGCCTAGTTTTAAACATTTTAGCAGTTAAGAAAGACAAAGAAACTGGTTAAATTCGTTTTAACAATCGATTTCATATAATGCAACGTGCAAAATATTATCATTTCAAATGCAACGCGTATAAAAATATTGGTCAGCTATTTTGCGTTATTATTTTTTATTACAGTAAATGTTCAAAATCCGGTGTGCAATTTACACGTACAGCACATCTCGGGCCGGACTGACCATATTTCGAGGGCTCAGCGGCCACATGTGGCTAGCGACCACCGTAGTGGATGGCGCAGGTTTAGAATCTTGGGAAGAGGAGTTCCTGTTTAATGTACTCGGCAGCTGTGAAATTTGTAATATAACTCACTCACTGGACTAGGATGCTCTGACTTTGTATCTCCTTTGGCTATGTCCCGGAAGGTCACTGTGGGACCAGCTAGGATTGCAACAGAAAACCTAACGCTAGCGTGGCACATTCAATACTAATTTTGCACTTTTCAAATCGGAGGGAAAATTCATATATAATGTTTCCTGTTGACTCACTTCCTTCTTCGAAAGAGCAACATAAAATCTCTACTTTCAGGCGGACACTTTGCATACCCGGTAATGGGTACGTGCTGCCTTGATTGGAATCCTGTGCTCCGACAACTTCATGAGCAAAAAAATCCTACCTGACTATTCCCTGTTTAAAGGCAATTCCAGGGGCGCCTGGGTGGCGCAGTCGGTTAAGCGTCCGACTTCAGCCAGGTCACGATGTCGCGGTCCGTGAGTTCGAGCCCCGTGTTGGGCTCTGGGCTGGTGGCTCGGAGCCTGGAGCCTGTTTCCGATTCTGTGTCTCCCTCTCTCTCTGCCCCTCCCCCGTTCATGCTCTGTCTCTCTCTGTCCCAAAAATAAATAAACATTGAAAAAAAAATTAAAAAAAATAAAGGCAATTCCAGTAGGGTGACAAATTTCTTATTTTGCGTGTGGACAGTTTCTTGAGAAAAATGCAATTTATCATTTTGAAGAATAACATTCTTTTTTTTTAATATATATTTTTTTAGTGTTTATTTTTGAGAGAGAGACAGAATGTGAGTGGGTTAGGGGCAGAGAGAGAGGGAGACACAGAATCTGAAGCGGGTTCCGGGCTCTGAGCTGTCAGCGCAGAGCCTGACACGGGGCTCAAACTCACAGACCGTGAGATCATGACCTGAGCTGAAGTCGGACGCTCAGCTGGCCGAGCCACACAGATGCTCCTGAAGAGTAATATTCTTGAGGTGCCGGGATCCCTGAGAAAGAAAGAACATCGATGGGGTGGATTGTTGCAGAATTAAGTTTCGAGGGCAAGTATTTGCAGTTTGGTAGTAGCAGGTTCATCTCACGTAGGCCTCTCCCTCTTTGTGGAGCACTCAAGTTCGTGGCAAAGTCTTACAGAGTCAATCATGTTGTTCATTCTTTGCTTGTCATCGTCGGTGTGCTGTGTAATGTGTCTTTCAATCGCTGAATAACTGAACGACTGTCTTTGAATAACTGTCTTTACCATATGCATGCTTTGGTGTTCAGATTTAATTTAATTTTTATGCAAAGGAAAAAAAAAAACAAGAAACAAACAAAAAACTCTTCACTGTAGATTCTTACTCCTCCACATTTCCCTGAGTAAGAAATTTGTTTTTAGTTCCGGTGCTTGGTCTGCAGCAAACTCCTCGTCTGTGCTTCCTTGTAAATGGTTTGTTTCCATTATCGCTGGTGCCTGATAAGGGATTTTTGCTCTCCTTGTTCTGGTTTATTTTTCCCAGTGGGCAGTGCTTGCTGTAAACAAAGCAAAACAACAAAACAAAACAAAACAAAAAACCGCAAAAAACCAGTTTTAAGTAAAATGCATGTGGCTGGTCTCAACTCTCATCACCGTAGCAAATTTAACACCTAATTCTGCGCAGTTATTGGGCAACCAAACAGAAGGGACAAAGAATGTTGTGATTTATTAAAAAACAACAACAACAACAACAACCAAAAACACCACCAAAAACAACAAAAAAAAACCCCAGACCTCAAAATGAATGAACGGGGCTGTACGCTCTCGTCTGTTCCATCACACGTTTCTGGCCGCTGGGGCGCTTCATGGTAAGGCCGTCGAGGGACGCACAAAGCAGCAAGAATATTTATCTTGCGTCCAGTAGGTTCCACTGCTTTCACACCTGGACGCTGAATCCGGTTTTGCGGTCGAATCCCGTTCCGTTCACCGGGGAGCCTCGGCTACCAGGCGAGATCCTTCTAGAAGTAACCGCAGTTCTGTTGTGGGGCTCCTGCGTGTCCCCTGGATGCCGTCGGCTGCGTCTAACCTACTGGTTTCCCACGGGACTACAAATTTAATTTAAGGCCTAAATTGTATTTGAGAAGTCTGAAGCACATTAAGCCTTCTGAAATAATTCACTTGGGATTACGTTCAGTGAACGTGTAAATATGAGAATGTGCGAGGCAAGTGGTCTCAACAGAGAATGGATGCGAGACCGCGTTGATGTAAGCCACATGTGCTTCAAATCTTGGAGGAAAATCTGTGTCACCGCTGGCGACCAGACCTTGAGGCTGGCCGGGGAGGTTTACGTCCAGTCGCTTCTGCGCTGGGTCCCTGCCACGTCCCCGGGGGAGACCTCGGAGACAAACTGCTAACTGTGGGATTGTCAGCCAGGGGGCTCAGCTGTCAGCTGTGGCACGGTGAAGGCGACAGAAAGCCAGAGGGAGGGGCTGTGTAGCCCCCGTCCCCAGATGGTTCCCCACCAGCTTCTCAGGTTGGGTGTTTGTGGGTGCGAAATGGCCAACGTGTGCTCTTGGAAGCTGCTATGTTAGTTAGACTTGGGTTGGGGACGACAACCGTGGGGTTTTTGCCTCCAGGCTGAAGACCTTTCTTATGCTGGGGCGGGTACAGTGGCATGATAGTGTCAGGCCCTAGAGACACCTGGTCAGTGAGGACAGTGAGCATCGCTAAGTGCCCCCCACTTCCTGCTGACCTCTGGCGGACACGTCTCCCCCTCGGCACCGGAACCTCCCATCTCTGCCTCTCCTGCACCGGCCTGGTCCCCTTAAGCGCATGGGGTCTCAGGTGGCCGTGCCAGCGAAATTTCACCTGCCGTGGGCACGCACGGGGGCTAAAAGAAACAAGCCGGCGAGTCTAATGAAATCAGGCTGCAGATCTGAAGCGATTTTGGAATATGCTGCTCTGCTTTCTGTCCTGTGTCTGGTTTTCATGGAAATTGGTGTCTGGGAATGAGAGGGAATCGGAGGGGATTTGCTGGAGGCAGGTGCCTGGTTCTTTGGCTTTGGCCCTTAGGAGTCAGGTCCAGGGACCTCCTCAGAGGGGGTTGGGACACAGAGGTCTTAGGAGATTTGATGAGCACCGTGCAGTCTTTAGAAGACTGGGGATTTTTGCAGACTTCCTGATTGTTGAAAATTATTCATAAGTCCGCCCGTAGTCTGGGATTTTTAGGACAGAAAGCACACTCCACTTATTGTCCGTGCTTCCTAAATTACCCTTTGAGGTCGCCACAATGTTATTTTTATGGCGTGCGGGGCCGCCTGCGTGGGTTAACTTCTGAGATTATGAGTAAAACGACTCCATTTCTTTCTCCGGCAAGGGCTTGACCGGTTCAGGTCAAAGATGTGCAGCAGCATCCTGGCCCTGGTGGAAATCCAGGCTGCGTCCTGAGACATAGGGAATGCGTTCTGGTCCACCCTAGATGAAAGAAGTCGTGGAAATGAGGATCGGAATTCGTTACGTTTGCCCTGGCAAGGGAAGCAAGATTGAGCACCAGTTTTTAGTCCTTGCTCCAAGCAAGTGAAATAAGAATTGCATATCATGTATTCGAGAAAGTGAAATGCATGCTTCCCTTTTGGAATGAGCGAGATTTGTTACAGACTAAGGCAAGAAGGCAGAGATTGCTGCCTTGGCTACATAATATGCAATGAAAAGATGTCCTGAGAAATCTGAGGCTGGTAGGCTTTTTAAAAAATAGGTTGCTGGTTTTCAATAACTACACTCATCTGCCTCATTTGTCTCAGACCATTAGCTTTTTATTTCTTTCCTTTTTACCTTTTTTTTTTTTTTTGGGTTTCTTTTTGGTTTTTTTGTCTTGTGCTCGACACCCACCGGCTTCCAGAACAAGAGGCGATGTGTGTGTGACTCGTTGGCTAAAGGGCATATCAGGGGAGCATCTGTCTTCTAGAAATAATGATGGGGACATCCTAAACTGATTGGGGTAAATGCAGACGGCTTTTATCACGAGGCTTTGGTGCTAAACACATGGAGACCAAGCGATGCTTTCGGAAGTAGTTACCCTTAGGCTTAAATTTGTGTTTTCCACTGTTTTTCATGACCGATGCCCTACAGATGGAGTCTTTGCAGACATCCTTCCCCTACCCTCCCCTTTTCCTACATGCAAATCTAACACCATTAGGAATTTTATGGTATATATATTAAATGTGTGTGTGTGTGTGTGTGTGTGTATACACATATTCAGGTATAATTTGTATTTACACATGAAAAGAGGGAAGACTTTTCTTATCCTCTGAGAACTGATTAGCTTTTTAAAAAAAAAATTTAATATTCATTTTTTTTTTTTTTGAGAGAGAGAGAGAGAGAGAGAGAGAGAACGCAAGCAGGAGAGGGGCAGAGAGAGAGGGAGTCACAGAATCCAAAGCAGGCTCCAGGCTCCGAGCTGTCAGCACAGAGCCCGACGTGGGGCTCGAACCCATGAACCACGAGATCGTGACCTAAGCCCAAGTCGGATGCTCAACCGTCTGAGCCCCCCAGGCGCCCTCCCCCCATGCTTAGCTTTGAAAAAGATTCTGTTTAAGAGAAGGGAGGGCATCTGCCCCAGAGCGGGGCCTGAAAACGGACAGTGCTAAAGCAAAACCCTCCCAAGAGCTCCCGCTGCTTCTCTCAGAGGGCTCCGTTAAACACACAGACTCGGAGACCACACATTCCTTCCGCTTGCAAGAAGGTGCTAGGATGCTTATCAGACTTAGGGTGGACAAGACCTGACGGGCTGCCGGAGCACCCCAGCTGCAACACAAGACCCCAGAGGCCGGTGGCCCCTTGCGCGGTAGCCCCTGCCTTTACTTCTGGGTCTGGACAGGAGCAGCCCTCTGGCTTCTGCAGACAGCCTCCCCCCACCCGTCCCCTTGGACGTACAACTGCAGGCCGTGTGGCCGACCTGGTACAGCTGGATCCCACTGACGCTCATGTCTCCCCTCCAGTTAAGATGGAAATATATTAGAGAATAAACAACCAAAAGAGACATGCTGAGTTTCACCCAAAAATCAATCAGAAGAGAAAAACACTTGGGCCAGCGTCAAGAGAAACAAAACTGAGCCAGCACAGATTTTTATGAAAATGATCATTGAATAGTATTTCCATGAAAAGGCAACTGACTCAGAGTCGGAGGGTGAGTGTCCCGTGAGGCAGACCAGAGTCGGAAGGGCCCGCCCACGCCCGGGGCTCACAGCCCCGCTCAAGCTCAGTTACTAGAAGTGACCCAACCATCCCGAAAATAGGAAAAAGGACACGAGGGACAAGCCAGACTCTTAGGAAGGGAGAAAATGTGTGTTGTGAAACCAGCCCGGCTCGGGAAGACTGTCACGTCGCATTGAGCTTCTCCTCCCCAGAAGCAGCCCCGCAAATAACCCTCTTGCGCCCGGGGAAGGCTGTGCGGCACAGTCCCTGACCTTCTGGAAGGGCCCAGCGAGAAAACGGATGTTGCTGCGAGTGCCAGAGGCGCACAGATGAGGCGTTTTGTTTAAATGCTTACCTCCGGCTCAAGGCATAGGAGGCGTTCTGGTACTTTCGGCTGGTATACTTCCTTCTGGAACGTCACGAGGGAGCTGCCTTCCATCTGAGGCAGGAGATCCGGGTGGTTCTGTGAGCATCTCCCGGGAGCTGCCCTGGGGAACCCAGCGGCTCCCTCCGCCCCTCCCCCCGGGCCGTCTGGGCTCCGTATCTGGAATGTAAAAGGTACGTTCTCGTGGACTCTTCTGGTCTGGTTTGTCTGCGCTTTAAGAGATGCTTAACTCCTAGCGAGTACCGGCTACTTAGGAAAGCTCGCTCTCCTGAAACTTTCCCCTCTTCTTCTTTCCAAATGGCCCCTTTTTAATGTCTTACAGACAGACGTTAGTTTGAGTCAGCGGTGATCCGCAGTCTTAATTTTGACAGCAGCAGAATGACCAAGAGCTATGTCATAGTCACATGGAGCACAGACTTGGGAGTTTATGAATGCTTGCCCTTAAAAATCACTAAAAATACCTCTTCACACTATGCCTCCACACGCAGTGGATGCCAGGGTGGTAAAATCACATCGTTATCTGCTTTTTTGGTCCTAAGGGTGGATGGTAATAATTTTGGGGTGGATGACAGACCACAATGTGTGTCTGAACACTTACGTGAAACTCACTTATATTATGGGCTGTATATCCGATCTTCTGTGACTATAGCCAATACTTTGCTGTGCTCTTTCTGGGGAATTCTCTTTGAACTTGGTAATGGGGACTTTTGATTGTAAAACAAGACAGGCGTTTAGAAAATATTGATGTTCGTCATGAACCAGGGTCAATGCCGGCACCAACTGCATCCGCACCTGTATCCAGAAAGAGGAAATATCTAACACCGTTTGGCCTTCCGAGACCGTTGCAGACTTGTTTCACAGCTTGGCTCTGTTATTCAGTATGATTTTTGTATGGCATTTTCCCTCCAAAACCTTATCATAAGTGTAAGCTCTTACATATATGACGTACACACACACATACTGTATTATGTAGGTTACATGTATGCATATTACATTACACTAAGTATGTTACAGTAACGCTGTATTAAAATAACCTCGTCATCAGAGCCTAGAATTAAGGTTAAATTGTCTCTTCCTGGACCACATTCAGAGAAGTCTGAGGAGGACCCCAGGTGGCCTGGATTTTAGTCTCCTGCTAATTACTCAGGTGGAAAAAGACTGGTCTGTGCTGTTGTCCTTATAAGCGATTTCTGTAGACCCAGGCACCTGCAGTCAGAGTACGGGAAGGTTCCAGTATGCTAAGAAACCACACCTAAATAAATACCAGCCTTCACAACTGGGACCTAGGAAAAGTGCTTTTATCGTGGAAAGCCAAAATCCGCTTTAAGAAAATAAGATTTTTAAAAGCGAAGTTGTCTCCCCATCTTGTTGTGTGTTGTAGTAAATGGAACCATCTTTTCAAGGAACTCTTCTGCTGAGTAGGAATATTGTCACACTGATTTGCAGAAGGCCACCTGTAGCTGGAGCCACAGTTTTCACTGGAAAAGAAAGCCGATGACGGTCCCTCCTTTTTTACTTCTCTTCCTGGCTTGGCCCTGAGTCAGGCTGGCATATCGGACTCCACTCTGGGTCCAGGGGAGGGGAGGGAGTGTGGCTGGAGACCCCTGTAGGGAGGATGTCCAAGCCCACCTACGTTTGCTGCATGGAGCAGGGGTGGGGCACAGAAAGGGACCGGGCGTGGTCATGCCAGTTCCCAGCCATCCTAGCCTTCTTTCCACACCCCTACCCATGAGCGGTTTCCGTGAGCTCTCAGCTGTGGGTCACCTGCTGCAGGGGATGGAATTTGTCACCCTGACCCCGTCACCAGCCAACACAGACTCAAGCCCTTGGTTCTTTCGTCACATTTACTTGAAAACTCTTTGAACACGTGGCATTGACATAAACACACTGGTTCATTTTTCTTTACGTTGCCCCAAAATGGTACTGGGGGGGGTCCTCAAATGATCTCGCCAGCACTGAAAATGGGGACACACAGGTGCCGTGGCACCACTCACTGATACATTGTGGTCGAGTCCCATCTTCTTTTGACCTTTTGAGGGTTGTTCCTGTGGTTTGGGATATTTCAGGAGAGGACTGAATCGAATGGGTTCTTTTGTTCCTCAGAACGCCTGGATTCCTGGTGTGGTGTCAGGACCGCTTCTCTTAAGAAAGCACCTCCCTCTTAAACAAAAGCACCAGGGACCGCGGACCCTGCTGTTGGCTGTGACGCGCGTCAAGCTTAGAACAAGGAAGGATTGCGTCCTCACTCTGTCGCCCTGCAGACCTGCACCTTGGCCACTGTAGGTGAGGTTCACGGAGCGCATGTGGGCGTAGTCGGTATGTCCACAAAGATGTTTCTGTTCCCCCACCTTGGGTTTTCGTCCCGAGACTGCTCATTACGCCATTCCATAAATCCTCCATTATAGGTAGTAAAACCTAATTTTAGATTTCCTGCCTGTGCCAGTGTCCTGCCTGATTGCTACGAGCTGGCGAGAGGCGGGACCTGGGAAGTGGACTGTTCAAACCCGGCCACGTGTTAAAGGCTTTTCCTTGAGTTTTTGGCCTCTGGTCCATCATTCCCTGATGGCTTTTATCTTAAGTTTCAAAAGCTTCTGGAGATCAACTCTGCAGCTTACTTGGTTCGTTTTGTTTCGTTTTGACACAAGGGATCCGAGAAGGGGCTCCAAGGAAGGAGTGGGGCATCAGGGGGTTAAAGAGAGTGATGAGGCCAGTGGAGCCCCGGGCCATGTTTGCCAGGAACGGGAGGCTCCGTGCCCTCCCAGGGGTCCGAGACTTGGCCCCTTCCTCATGTTGGAAGCTTCCTGGGAAAGTGCATACAGGTTCCGAATGTCTGGTAGAACCAGTGCTTTCTTCCCACCCTCCCCGTCCAGTGGGCCAACACCTTCCACCAGGGATGCCAAATGGTTCAGCGGGGCTGGGGTGGGAGGCATTGGGATGTGACTTCCTCATGGCCTCTCTCACGGTCCCAGCTCCATGATGCTCCCTTCTCAACCCTCAGGCTTGGAAAGGTGCATTGAGAAGCTCAGTGGGTGTAACAAGGTTTCAAGGATATTTTGGGTTTGAGGCAGCCATACTTTGTTACCTACAAAGTTGAAACCCACGAGCTGTTCGTCTACCCTGGAAGCTTGGCAGGCAGCAGAGTGCCCTGGAGAGAGGCTGGTGACAGTGGGGGTGACCAGATGTGTGTTTTTATTGGGCGGGTGTGAGCTGAAATCTATATGAACAGTGTTAGAATGTTTGAACCTTACAAGAGGTATTATGTCCGGGCATTTTTGAACTTGAGAAGGTGGTATCCGTAATACTTTGTCTGTTATGGAAATATTAGAACATACAGACAAAAATATTTAAATCTTTCCACACTCAGACATTATGGCTACTGACAATGATGCATTTAATTCCAGAATTCTTTTATACATATTCTTTTCCCCAAAGTGGATCATATCACATACACAGTTTATATAACGTGTTTTTATTTTACTGAGGAACACATTGTAAATATCTGTCCATGTCGGTAAACATGTTTCATGAGATATCTTATTTCTGCCACATTATTTTAAGCCTGTTTAGGATTCCATTGTATGGTCCTATCATGATGGATTTAATTAGTCCTCTCTGTTGAGTATTTAGGCTGTTTTCTGTTTTCTTTATTAGAATCCAAAAGTTCTGCGTCTTGGCTGCAGAATACGGATGCCCGGGTCCCATCACAGAGGAATGAAATCAGGCTCCCCTGGGAGTGAGGCGTAGGGGTCGGGACTCATGCTGCACAGTTTGCCGAAGTCTAGAATATGTTCTTGAAAGTGGAATTGTGTGGGGCTGGGTGGCTCAGTCTGTTGAGCATCCGGCTTCGACTCAGGTCATGATCTCACCGTTCGTGAGTTTGAGCCCCATGTTGGGCTTTGCACTGCTAGCCTGGAGCCTGCTTTGGATTCTCTGTCTTCCTTTCTGTCTGCCTCTCTCCCACACTCGCTCTCTATGTCTCTCAAAAATAAGTAATCATTAAAAAAATTAAGAAAAGAAGAAAGTGGAATAATGTGATCCGGGTATGTGTCTTCATCTATCTTTTGATATATGCGGGCGGCTTATAATTCAGAACTTTTTTCTTTATAAACTGTTTTAGAGTTTAAGCCTTAAGGCTTCTGAAAGGCGAGGGATGACGAGAATTTGCACGTGGACTTGGGGAAAGAGGTCTTACTACACCACATAAGCACACCAGGCTCATTGGCTTTTGCTTAGTTCTTTGGTGTTGTCGCATGACCTAAATAAACAGATGAGCACATTCCTAAGATAATGAAGAAGAATGTATTTGGTGCCTCTTTCTCCCCATGGAGCTTTGGTCGGACCACGGGGCAGGTGCCACCGCCCTGGCCACCAGCAAGTGGCAGTGAGTGCTGCAGGACCCCAGGCCTGTGCCTCTCGGGGCTCCTAACCTGTCCGTAGAAATCTCCCGCAAGCCCCTCCGGTGTTGAGTGTATTCACTCTGAAGGTCCTTTATGTATGTCATCACCTTTCTACTTTAATTGCTATTTTTTTTTTCTCGAAGGAATACATATGCATAAAGTTAAATGGTACTTCTGGGCTTATAACGTAAAATGCTAGTTCTCTGCCCTCGACCATTCCTTAGCTGTCCTTGGCCGTTCTTTGTCATTCACCTCCATATTTCTAAGTTCTGGGCTCGTGGCACTCCTTCTCGAGTTTTCAGTTTGGACAGGATCGGTTTTCTGTTAAAGAAGAGGGGCGTCGGGTTCACACCCCTCCCTCCCTTCTCCATTCCGCTGTCCTCACAGTGTAGTGAGGCAAAAATGTCCGCTAAGTTCAGGTCCACGTCTAGCGTTATTGTAATGATATAAACGTTAGAGGGGAGCCAGAGGATGTGCTGCGGTTACATTTTGTCTTTTCCCAGACTTACTAACTGGGATTTGCATGCTGCCTTTGTTTTTCTATGTGCTTACACATCAGACCGCCCTCCACTCCCCTGGAGGGCTGGCGTGTCCTCTCCGGGCGGGACGGCGTGTTCAGTGATCGCTTGGGGCTGTGGAAGGGAGGGAGGGGGAAGACCCTTGGGAGCCTTGTGCCGTCAGGCTCC